CTGGATCTGGGAGGTCTGGAAAAGAAATGATTACACTGAATAATGTCAGGAACCACAATAGATGGGGAATTCTGATGTAAACCAGTGAGGCTCCAGTACAGCCACCTGCTTCACACCAGATGAGGACGCAGCCTGGCTTGGTTCAGTCGTTATCTTGGGGTGGATAAATTTGAGCTATTTGTTTTGAGTTTGCTCTTATCTACAAGCCAAAGGAGACTGAAGGGGATTGCAGCCTTTGCCTGCTTCTGCTCTGGGATGTGCAACTACAGATAATAGCCGCGAGCTGATTTCCCCCCAAAATGTGCCTTCTGTAAGTCGAGCACTGTTGGAGCAAGGCTCCCAAAATAGCTGGTGGCACTGCAAAAACCTCTGTAGAGATACAGAGTATGAGATCTGATGTCCAGGAGCCCCTTTGGTGATCGGACTGTGCCGTAGGGAGCCTCTTCCAGGAGGAGACATCTCTCCTTGTGGGTTGCGCTCGGATGAGCCTGAGCCGAGATTATCCTCTGCCAGCAAGTGCTGGCAGCTCACACAGCGAGGAAAGGCTCCCTGAGGGTCCTCGTGCCTCCGATGGCCCAACTGGCACCTGGAAAAGAGCATGGAGAGCTTAAATGCCCGAGTCACCATTGGACTTGCCTTGCTCATCTTGACAAAGTAGCGAGATCCACTTGGGCTGGAGCGGGGCTGGTCCCAAGCGTGGCATCTCTTATAGCCTGGCCATCTGCCTGTGCCACTCCGCCGGTTGTGAAATGTCTGTTTCATCCATTTCCATCCAATGACATACTTGTACATTGCTTAAGGTTCCAGGGTAGTTCCTTAAAAGGGGTCTCTGTGGCTTTTCCCGCAAGGTTGGTGTGTCATGTACTCTGGCTGGGTGGCAGGGAGGTGGCCAGGACGTGACCATGTCCCCTTCACCCCCTCCACCTGGCCCTTGGGGCTGCAATTCTCCATCAGCTCTCAACAGAAGTCCCTTCCCCTCGGCTTCTTCAGTTTCACCTGCTTTACTCTCCTCTGTAGGGGTGTCTTTTCACGCCACGAGGCAAAGGGAACCCACAGCATCATGCCTGCACTTCTCCAATGAGCCAGCACCACTTGGCCCTGTAGCGTCCCCACCCTTGCAGCCCTGGTGCACCCAAAAGCATCCTGCTGTCCCATTGCTTCATGCAGCCCAGCAATGACAGCATGGTCAGGGTTGCCTGTGTGACACAGGGACAGAGCTGGTGCTGAGGGCAGTGCCCCAGCTCTGGAGGACCATCCCCTGCCTGCAGCAAGCAGCTCTTTATGAAAGACAAACAATACAGGGTGGGTTCCCAACCTGGTGGAACTTCATTTCACCTCCTCAGGTTAGCCACAGCCTGTGCAAAGGGTGGTTTCTCCCCACCCAAGGTATGCTCTGAGCTGTGGAGACAAGGTGTGGCTGGAAGGTGTATTTTTACTTTTTAGGTCTGTGTCCTCACTTTGTGGCTTCTTTTTTTTGTTGTTTCTCAGTGTTTCAGAGACCCAGCACAGGCGCTTTGGCTCAGAGTGGCTAAGATCAGGAGCAAAACGAGATTTTCCAGTGCTTCTTCATTAAAATGGTCTGCCTGCTGATTCAGCTGGCTTGTTTGGGGGTTTGTTTAACCTGCCAAACATGAAGCTAATCTCAGACACAAAGAGGCCAAAACGGGGCCAGGGACAGGCCTGGGGCAAGCTCCAGGAGCTCCAGATGAGCTGACACGGGGCAGAATCATGCAGAGAGCGGCTCAGGGATGCAGCCCTGGTCCACACGCAGTGGCCACCCGGACCCCGGCCCTCACTAGTGGGGGTGCACCGCATTTCACAACAGGAGTGCTTTGATGCACAAAACTGCTGGAGAAAGGCCAGGGCGTTTCACAACAGGGTGTCGGGGACCATCCGCTCAGTTGCAGAATTTTGTAGCAATTTCAGGAAACCCTACTTCTGGTCATTTTATCATCTCAGAGGTAGGGAAGGGCAAAGATGGATTACAGGGTATGGGATGGGCCAGGGATTTCCAAAGAGGGATGGTGGCTAGACCCTCAGATGTGCCCACCAGGCAGCAGGGGTGAGACCCCAGGTATCTGTTCTTTAAATGCCACTGCAGTTACTAAGGTGACCAGGGAGCCTGGGTATCACTTAGGGTCACAGGAACATGAGCTAGCACAACTTTTTGCCTGGCTCTGCAGGTCTCCTTGCAGGGGGAGCCCCTCTGTCCAGCTGTGCCTGTAAGCCATGCCAAAGTGGATGCAGCAAGCTGTGATCCTGGCCCCAAGGCCACCAGGGTTGAGCAAGCATCCACTTGCTGGAGCTGCAGAGGGGAAGAAGTAGGAAATAAGAGTCAGGCAGCATGCCAGCAGCCCAATAGCCATGGCAAGTGAACGATCTGGTTCGAGGTGACTGGAGTTGGTTGTACCCTGAGGGCCTGAGCCCTGGCAGGGCACCCCATGCTTGACAATCATTGCAAAACATTGCAACATCTTTCAAAATACACGTTTACAGGCAAGTGGCTGGCTGATGCGGGAAGAGGGCATGGCAGGGTTTGTCACTATGTGGTTTGCTGTATTTCACAGCAGGTTTTAGCACAGGATCAGAACAGGACATATGTTCTGGTTGCTAGATGTGGTTTTAGCTTGGGGAAGCCAGGGGACGCACTCTGAGCCCTGGCTCCTGAGCACCTTTGAATGCTCAGACCAGCGATGCTCCAGCCTGGCACGAGCAGCCACCATGGGAGCTGGGGCAGCCTAGAGGGTTTCCCATCCTGGAGCCACAGGGGAAAGGATTTCCCAGTCCTTTAGCTTAAGCCAAAAGGCGTTCACATACATCTCAGCCATATCAAACAGCTACTAACAGCTGCTTGGGAGGCACTGCCTTGGTCCAGCCCAAAGGGAGCTGGACACGGGCAAGACACAACTGCTGCAGGGTGCTTGACCCTCTCCAAGCCCTCCTGGAGCTCTGGCAGATTGCTGGGCTGGATCTGGCCATTGCCCTTGCCCTTCCTGCCTGTGCTACAACGTGCAAAGTGTTGCTCTCGCTTGTGCTGGGGCAGCTGTCGGCTCAGCCCCACGGGGTGGTGGTACCCGAGCATTCGTTGAGAAAGAGATGGATTATAGTGTATTTAGTACCCAGAAATGGTTTGTTGGTGCTGGAAGACATCTCCCACATGTCTCAGCCAGGGACAAGATCCTCGTGCCCTCCTGGAGCCCGTCAGGATTTTGGTGGGAACATTTTACTGGTGGAAAACTCCAAGGTGGAAACCATCTGGGTGTTTCATCTTGGCTGGGTAGCAAGTGATTCAGCAGGGTTGGGAGGGAGTACTCCAGATGACTTGTCTGTGTGGGAAAACTCTGAAATTTGAGTTTTCATTGGGATTTAGGGAGAAAATTTTAAATCTCAGAATTTTCCGCAGGCCAGAAGCTATATATACAGATAACTTGTGCGTGTATTTCTTTTTTTTCCTAAGAGCACCCTGGTTTGTTCTTGTGGTAAAGGCTGTGTTCTGTTGTGAACCACTGTTGTTGTGGGTTTGAATGCATTTTTCCTGCTCATGGGTGATTCTGCATCCAGAAGATGCACTTGGCATGGCCAAGGGGAAAGAGCTGGATGAGGACGGGCAAAACAGGAGGTGTTTCCCCAAGCTAGGCTGCCTCTGCTCTTCCTAGTCTATGCAGAAAACTTCCTCTGCCAGGAGAAAAACCTCTAATATGACTTGTATATGTTGCAGCTGATGGTTAAAACCCTTGCAGAGCTAGGTGGTGTCTTGTGCTGGTCTTCTGGCCATTAATACCCTCATAGCCCAGCAGTCCAGCCCTCTCAGCTTAGACCAGACACTGAGCAGTACAGCTCTTGCCCACTCACATCTCGATAATAAGCCTCTTACTTTACAAGGTTTTGGGGTGCCTCATTTAGGCAAGCCTTTATCCCGCAGCTCCAGCAGGACCGTGCATTCGCTGCAGCTAGCACCCACCCTCCCCATCCATGTGATGGATGTGAGAAGGAGTGCTGAGATACGAAGGACTCGGTGAACTTCAAGTGATGCTTTATTGTCTCACAAGCATGAGTGATCCAAGCAGACAGAAAGCAGCCAGAGCACAATTCCTATAAGCAACCCTCTCCGAGTTTTTCATGGGTCATGCATTGAGACTCAATCCTTGTCTGGTGTACAGCGATCGTCCCTGTGGCTGATGCGATGGGCATCATCGGTCAGCTTGGCCAAGATGATGGTGAACTCCTCGAAAGACAGCTCTTTGTCCTTATTTAAGTCTGTCTCTTTGAAGAGCTTGTTCAGGTAGTCATGACGGTTCCTGTCCTGAAATTGGGGGACAGGATATGTGTTAGCATGCCCCCTCCCTGGGCTGCACACCCACTGGTGGAAACTGAGCCAGCTTTTTTGTTGCATGCCCTGGGAAGTGTTTGGAAGCTGCAGGATCATTGTGACCCTCTCCTACCTTGCAGTTATCCCCTAGTTAAAACCCCAGATGGACAGGCTCTTGTCCCAAGCCCCTTTGGCTGCTCCATACCCCTGCAGTGGCAGGAGGGATGAGCACAGGTGGCCCCACAGCACATGGACAAGCTGGGTCTGATCACAGAAAACTACTCTGTGGACCACAGCCATGGTGGGGACTGCACCTCATTCCCCCAGGAGCATCCTCAAAGGCAACCTCAGCCTCATCCCCCACACCCTCCCAAGGAGAGCATCCCTCCAGGGAGCACAACACGGCTCATGTGGCACTCACGCAAGCTTGCAGGAAAGTCGGTGCCTGCTCAGTCAGCAGTTTCTGGAAGTCGCTGAAGCTGAGGAGGTCGAGCTGGCCATCCCGGATGCTGTAATGGTGGTAGACGTTCACCACGGTTTCCAGGGCCATCTCCAGCGTGCAGTTTCCAGGGAACTGCCGAGTCTCGGGAAGGGTGGTTCTGGGCTGGGTGCTTGCAGACATGGCTGAGCACTTGAGGTACCCACAGAAACTGTGTGGAGAAACATCAAAGCCATGAGATGCATCAAAAATCAGGCACCCCATGCCATGCTTTTGGCCCCCACCCCAGGCACCCCAAGGGGGGCTGTGCTGCACCTCCCCAGCGTAGCAGCAGATCTGCACCAGGAACCCTGTCTCGTCGGGGCTGAGCAAGCCAGCAGCGCCCAGCGTGCCCCAGGGGCGGTCGGCAGCTCCTCGGCACTGAGCGGGTAATAAGTGGTTTTAGGAATATTGCTGTTTTACAGCATCGCCCAACCGCCTCTAATTTTAGCTTCATCCAAGAAGCAGCTTGTTCTTACTGACCTGGAGGCATTTGTCAGGCAAATTGGACAAGCTCATCAGGCTGTAGTCGCATATCTGTACCATGCCACTGACAGCAAGGATGACTTTAAGGCAGGGAGCACGGTTCAGGTAAAGGTTCCATTGTAGCCTTTGCCTGACCTCCTCCTCTCTCTGAATCTCCCTCTCCTCTTTGGGCTGCAAACCCTTTTCACTGCAGACACTGAGCAGAGAGACCCTGCTCTCCGATGGGTGCCACCGTGCAGGTGACACTCCTGAAGGGCACTCTCCTTGCCAGCAGAAGCAATTACACCTCCACTAAAGATGGCACAGAAATGCTATTAATTTATACTTGTCTTGTAGCCGAAACCAGCCTCCCACCCTGGCCCAAGTAGAAAGCATCAACCTGGAATAAAACAGGCATGGCATGAAGTGACATTCAAAATCGCTTCTCCTTCATCTTATTTCCTGCAAGAACCATTGCAGTGTTACTTACCCTTGTCTCCAAGAAGGGTTTGCAGAGGACGGGTCTGTTGCAGTGATCCAAGAGCCTGGGCAGCCCTTTTATATATGTTTGAGGTCCTCTTTCATCAGAGGTGGTGACACACCTGTTGCAAGCAGCAGCTTGAGTTAATATTTCCCATACCTGGAAATTGCAAGGTGGGAACTTCTGAACCCCTCCCCATCTCATAACTCTGCATAGTTCCTGGTTGCACCCACCAGGCTTTGGAAATGCTGTCCTTCCACCCCACCGTCACCTCCGACAGGGCTGAGCTGTTCATGTGACAGGCAAAGAATGGGAAAAACACTGGATGTATTGTCACACCTCGACGTGAGCGTAAAGGGCAAGTCCATCTTGGCAGAACTTGCCAAAATGTTGCGAGTTTTCCAATGTGCTGAAAATTTTGCACGCTCTTATGCTGGTGTAGAAGAAAGATGGGTTGTTTCAGAGAGATGTGGATAACTTTGTCCCTTGGTTGTTTTTTGTTATCTCTGTTTTCTGCAATACTAACTGGTTGAACACTAGCAAAGAGAAAGGCAGTGTACGCCTTTTAATAAATTGCTTTCCAGAGTATTTTCCACTACTTTCTACTTTCACATCACTTCTACCAGACCTTTCCTCTTGGTCCAGAAACTTTGTGGAGGAAACTGGGCATAAAACGAGAAGAAAATCTGAGGTCAGGGTCTTTACTGGTTGGAGCATTAACTAGCAAGTGTTTTGCAACAGTCACCTCTGTGTCACCCATCTTGCGTTAGCAGAACAGGTACTAGAAGAATGAGGAGACTACAAAAAGATGTAAAAATAAGACAATAGATTCCAGGAAGAGGGTAGGAACAGAAAAACAAAAGGGTAACCATTCCTGTTTGAGGATGTTTCTTGCGTGTCCTGGGGCCAGTATCAAGAACTGTTGCATGAGATTTATTCTGGTATCCCTGACTCACTTGATGGCTTTTTTGTTTTCCTGCCATTCTCATTAGGGACTGTTGACAATCCAAAATTGCATCCTCGTTCCCCAGCTGGCCTTGTAAAGCATTGGCAGAGGCTGGTTTTTGCCCTGTGCGCTTCCATAGTCCCCACGCAGATAGACCTGTGGGCCCTGAATTCCCATCTTTCCCAGCCGTTTCCCCCAAAACCTGTGGGGGAGGCAGCTCACAATGCCCAGCCCCACAAGGGGAGTGATGCCCAAGTGACACCTGGGTGCCCTGGCAGGACGGTGAATAACATCTGCCTCTGGGGGACAGAGGCTGCTCCCCAATGGCAAAATTGTGGAGCTAGAGAGTGATCACCTGTGTCAATGAGTGCAAATAACCATGCAAAAGCCCCATGCTTCCTTTTGGGGCTCGGTTTCACATGGGACAGGCTTCTGGTTTCAGCTGATATTGGACATGTCGGAGCCTCCTGAGCCTGAGAGTTTCCCATTCAGTGCAGGGTCACTGGCAGATACAGGAGCTCTTTTCTGCTCACGTATCTGCCCCCCAGGAGCCCGCGGTGGCTTGTAAATGTTCTGTGACCTGGGGTTTGTTGCCCCATGCTAACAAAAACATCCGACTTTATTGTGCAGAGTTAACACCAGCTCTCTGGAGCCCCTCAGCCTCGTTCTTTGTTGTGTCGGGGCTTGCAAGATAAGCCCTGGTTGCTTTGCGGGTTACAAAAGCATTGCACGCACCCCTGGGATGTTGCACCCCCAGCCCCAGAGCTGGGTCTCGGCAGTGACCTGAGGAAGCAGCCCCTGGCTGTGCTTCACCCTGGCATGTCCTGGAGCTGGTGCAAAGAGGGGTTGGGAGAACCAGGGCTGAGGAGGCTCTTGTGCAGCCACCAGCTGTCCCTATGCAGGAACCTCCCCAGCATGATGGGGTGCTACACCTCCTGTGCTGAGGCGAAGGGTGCTGGGGCCAACCACCCTGTGCAGGGAACCTGCTGAGCCTCAGGAAGGCAGTGGGAGCATGCTGGGGTCTGACATGCTTCAGGACGGGGAGCCCAGCAGCACTGTTGTTCTGGCTCCCAACTCTGCAGGGAGCAGGGTCCCCCCGTGCCGCCTTCCCTTTCCCATTGCGTCTCCAGTTCAATCTGCGTTTAACCCCCCACAGCTGCAGGCTGGGTGCATATTGCGTCCTCCCTGGAGACAACAGGACACATAATACAGATGCATTTGGTGCTTGAAGAAAGGAATTTTATTTCAATGCCATAGTCAGAAGCAGATGACAAAGCTTTGGTTACAGCTTTGTGTTTGTGGGCAAACAGAAGGGATGATGCTACTGGAAGAGCACAATCCCATGGGCACAGTGACCCTGGGAACTGCTTCACTTGGGACCATGGCCGTGGTCATGGCCATGACCAGCATCTGGATGGTGGTCGTGGCTCCTGTGATGCTGGTGTGACCTATTGTGGGCATCAATGGCCACGAGATTCAGGGTGGTCAGGAACTCGGTGAACTTCAGGCGACCATCGTGGTTGCGGTCTGCTCTGGTGAAGAGCTTGCTTATGTAGTCATCAACGGACGTGTTAGGCTGCAGCAGAACAAACACAAAAAAGAGTCAGCCTGAAGCAGAGCGGCGTTCAGGGTCACCCTGCCAGCCCGCAGCTACAGCATGAGGCTTGCCCAGCAAGGGTTGCGCGGTTTCAGGAAAACCCCAGAAAAACCTTCCATCCCCTTTGGGAGGCTCTCAGCCACCCCCATGCCCCAGGAGGCCACCACTCCTGCAAGCTCGCACCAGCATTAGGAGAGTTGGGCCACACTTGGCTCTTACCGGCATGGTGTTGTGGAGGAAGGGCTTGGCGGTCTCCTTCAGCAGCTCTGAGAACTCAGTCTTGCTCAGGTAGTCATCTATGGGGTACTTAATGGCATACTGGTGGTAGATGTTGACGACGCACTCCAAGGCGAGCTCCAGGTCGGTTTTCATCTTGCTAGGAAGGGACAGACAGCAAAACATTAAACCCCATTGGAGGAGACCAATGGGAAGTCCGGGAGACCCAGCCAGGCTCTGGTTGTCCGGCAGGGTCGGGGTCATGCCAGTGGCACTTCCAGCAGCACGAAGCCCAAAGCCATCATTTGGCAAGGACCTGCTTACCTACGAGCAGTGCTGGGGCTGACTTCTGCAGACAGTGGTGCGCGGGAGCGGAGGAACGGGCAGGAGCAGTGATGGTGCGGTGGAGGCAAGGTCTCTTTTATACTCTCCCTGAGCTACGATTTGTGACACCCTCAAATTTCCTTCGGGGCAATAACCCCAGGAATTGTGCAAGGCTATGCAGCACGCCCAGGCGGCAATTTCTTGCTTGGCTCCAGGAACTGGCTGCTCCCACTGTTAATGAGGGAGGGGACACACCGAACTCGTTAGGGCAAAACACGGAAACACCAAAAGACACATTTGCAGGCAGCCAGCATCATGGGTCAGTGACGGTGCCGGGGCTTTCCCAGGAGCCGGGACACTCCTGCAGAGTTTGGGGGTCTTTGCGGAGATGACGGAAAAGGAATTTTTCCAGATCACAGGAAAGTTGCTGGGTTGAGGGTCTCCAGTGGGATGATGCTGTTTTTTCCCAATGGGGGATGTGGTTCATCATTCCTGTATCTGCCCTGATGCTGTTGAATTTGGCTGGAGGTGTGGTGTCTGCCCCCAGCACGTTGCTGCATGGGTGCTGGGGGATGGCCAATGCATCCCACCCCCCAGCCACCTCTCCAAAATCATGAGCAGCATTCCTCCTTGAATCATTTCTTAACAGCTAGCCAGGAAGCCAAGACAGACGTTACAAATCCAGGCATGCCGGAAAACTGCTAGCCAGTCTTAGGAGGTGGCATTTCCCGGCAGCCGTAATTGCTGCCTGATGATAACCGAGGGCATTGGCAATCCCTGCCTGATCCCAGTGTTGGGGGGACGCTGCCACTTGTGGGAGATCCCATGGTGTTCCCAGTGCCTGGGATGGGCTGCTAAACCCTGTGTGTCTTGGGGGAAAGACAGTCTGGTGGGGCTGGTGAGGAGCCTGTACCCCAGGATGCCCAAGCCCTTCACCCCAAGTCCATGCTTGTTGGGACTGGCACAGCAAAAAGCCCATGCTAGCTGTTAAGGCTTTGAAGAGATGGGAAGGAAAGCAGTGATGAAACATCTCGCCATCAGCCTCCTAATCCAGGAGCATGAGGAACTGGTGCCAGAAAAAGGCCTAAATTGCAAAAGAGTGAAACAAAGGGACAGGTTGTATGGTGGAAGGAGACGGGTGAGTCTTCTCCAGGAAGGGGAGCCACGCAGGGCTGATCGCGGTGCAGCATTGGTGAGACGTGATGAGACACACGTGGGGAGGTGTGAAGGGATGTGCCTGTGCCACATGGGGAGGTGGCAGGAGACACGCATGCGCCGTGGGGCAGGCAAGAAGGGACAGGTCTGCCCTGTGTGTCTTCATGCAGCCATTTGCTGCCCAGCCTGACACGGAAGCCATGTGCCCAAGCACCAGGAGCTCCTGGCACATGCCCTGCCTTGAGGCCCAGTTGCTATGCCATGGCAGCCCAAGCTCCAGGGCAAGAGCCGCCATGGGGTATTGGCATCTGCTCCATGGCCAAGTGCAGCCACGGGGCTGGGAGTGTTGGTGCTGTAGTGATGGAGCCAGTACAGCCCCGAGGGCATGGTGGCAGGGGTGTGGATGGATGCAGGCAGGTTGGGATGCCTGTGAACAGCATCATGCCAGCTTCAAATATTCACAGATAGGGCATAAAAGGGGCCAAGGGCTTGTAGGGGGGTCCCTTTCACCTGCCTCTGGGATGCAAGTGTGGTGCAGCCACGTTCTCAGGTGTTTCACTGAGCCTGGAGGGATGGACGGGGTTTTTTTCCTAATATTGATGCTCAGGTGAGCGCTGGATCTCAGAAGCTGGGGTTCATGGAACAACCCCTACACCCTCCATTTGGGGGAGCAGGGGGATGAGTTTCGACCCCGGTCTCCTGGCAAACCAGCCCTTGCAAAGCCAAGGGTGCAGTGCCTGGGTGGGAGTCCCAGGCAGAAGGACGGGCAGAGCATTGCCAGCACCCAAGAGGATCTGTCTGCGGGGACATGAGCACTGGATGCAGCCCCTCACTGTGTCCCTCCCACTCACCTCCAGCAAGAGAAAAAACAGTGCCATCCATGAGGTTTTAATTTATTTAAGGTTCAAAAACAAGCAGAAACACAGGAACAAATCTTTACAATAGGAAATTACAAAAAACTTTACAAAAGGTCCTTAAAAAGGACCGCAAAAGGCCCCTGGGGCCCCTTGCCCCGCCAGCTGGCCCAGCTCTACATTTTGCATTCCTTCAGTGTATTGCTGCAGATCACGGCCAGGGCCCCCAGGAAGGCGACGTACTCCTGGAAATTCACTTCCCTCTCTTTGTTATAGTCCACGTCCAGTCCACGCCGCGGCTGTGGGCAGCACGAGGATGGAAGGGAGCTCAGCGAGCAGCTGGGAGCTGGTCCAGCCTTGGGGCAGGGAGTGGGGAGCGCCCGGGCCATTGCTCCCTCTCCACCCTGGGGGATGCTCTGCAACCCTCTATCTTGCCCTGGTGCCAGCAGGGCAGGAGGGGGCAAAGCCCCTCCAAACTCAGCTCAGCGCAGCCCCCCAGGGTCTGGCCCCGAGCGGGCAGGGGGCTGCCCCGCATCCCCACCATCGTGCCACCCCAGCGTGTTGCATCAGCTGGGGCCGGTGGCTGCAGGGTGACTCACGGGCTGCAGCCCGTACGTGGGTCCCGGCCGCCTCCACACGCAGCCCCGGGGCTGGCGGAGGGGGCATCCTGGAGGAGGGGGGCAAAGCCAGGGCTGGGCAAAGCAAAGCCTTCATGACATCTCCGCTCACCAGTGCTTCTGGGAGCAGCCCCAAGCCCACCGATAAAGGTCCAGCTCCCAGCCGGGCGGTGGGGGGGCAGCCACATCTGGAAGGGCCATGCTGCACATCTGGAGCCCAGCACACAAGCCTGGGTCGGCCACAGCTGTTCGGTGGGGGGAAAAGGGGATCAGAGGGAGGAAATGGAGACTTACAGATGTGAGCAGGCTCCGGTGCAGGGAAGGGAGGGCTGTGGCTGCGCGGTTCCTCGCATTTATAGCCATGGGCTGAGTCCTCCCATGCTGGCAGCCCAGGGGAGCTGGCTGCGTGCACGGGGGAAGCCACTCCTCTGCACGCCACAACCCCACCCCGAGCAGGAACGCAACTGAAATCCCTCTCCCAAGGGTTCACTTGGGGTGGGGAAGGGACAAGAGTGGCTTCCCAACGCAGCAGGTCCTGCCCCACGGAGCAGCAGGTGGGGGGACAGATGCGGACCCCGTGTGAGCTTAATAATTATGGCTAAAATACAGTTGTTCACCCGTCGCTGTTGTCACGACACCGGTCGGAGGCATTAATTCCTGCGAAAGCTCTCGCCTTGCCTTGCACGGCCACGAAGCAGTTACCAGGGCTGCAGGGCAGGGTGCTGACTCACGCTAACGCGGCCAGCGGGGATCAGCCCCGTGGGCAGTTTACGAGGGCTCAGGGAATGCGGTGCCCATGCTGCAGCAGAGCAAACTCCAGCAAACTCCAGCTCAGAAGCGCCCTTGCTCTCGCTCGTCATCCGGTACCTGCAACACGCATGTGGAAGGGAACGGGGTCTTCCCCAGTGTGACAGCACCCCTGTCCCTGGGGCAAGAAACCCCCATTGCAAAGCAGGCAGACAACTTTGTTTAAAGCAACCTTTATTGAAAAAGTATCAGTAAGACAGCGGGAGGGTCATGGGGGGAGCCATGCAGCCCGGGGCCAGTGCCCTGTGCTCACTTCCTCCGCGGCATCTTGTCGGGGCAGTCCTGGAAGAAGTCGTTGCACATCATGGCCATGCAGGCCAGGAAGGTCACGTACTCTTGGAAATCCACCTCACTGTCACTGTTGCTGTCCAGGTGGCCCATGAGCTGCTGTAAGCTGGCCTCACTGGTTTGACTCTGCCAAGGGGCAACAGGGAAGTTAAAATGGGGTTTTCCATCAAGGGCCATATCCCCAAGTCCCAGCATCGCCCGTGGGATGTGGCACCCCCTGCCCCACACTTACGCTGAAGCTGGGCAGCTCCTTCATGAGCAGCTCCTTGAGCTCCTGCTTGCTGAGCTTGTATTTGTCCCCCTCCTTCCCCGAGTACTTGTGGAAGGTGGCGACGATCACGGCCAGTGCCTGTTCCAGGGGACACGCCATGGGGGATGCCAGCAAGCCTGGAGGCACCAACAGCACAAGGGGGTGAGAGCAGAGTTCAGCGTCCCCAGACACCCCCATACTGGGGGCCCGACGATCTCCCCCAGACCGTGCAGGCTGCTCTGGTGCCCCATTCCCAGGCACGCACCAAGGTGCATCACTATTTCCTCCTTAATTTCACCCTCCCGCTAGCAGCCGGGCTGGGCATTGCCGTCTGGTACCGGTGCTGAACAACCTCCAAAAAAGCCATGCCAGAGGGGAGAATGAGAGTGGAGGCAGCAGCAGCCCTCTCCTGCCTGAGCCAGGCAGGGAAGGGGCACATGCGCTTTTCCAGCCCTCGGAGATGAAATGCAGCTTTCAAGCTCAGCTCGCTGCAGCGGGAGCCCCACGCTCAGCCCCAGGGGAAAATCTCTGCAGGGGGACCCCGCTGCGGGATGGGGCAGCTGCGCCATCGGCAACATCTGGAGGACATCTGGAGGCCCAGCAAGGCGAGGGGGAACAGAGCATCGTAGGAAAAAAACAACTCACCAACAGCTCAAACGAAACAGCCGAGAACAGGCAGGGCGGAAGGCGAGCCAGCGTCAGGCCACGGCATTTATAGCCCCGCCTGGGACACCTCCCTCGCTACCCGGATGGGAAGGCACCAATGCTGATCCAGCGCCTGTCTGGACACCGGCTGGCAAAGGAGGGGAGGAAACGCTGGGAGCAGCCCTGGCCCCCCCCAAACCATCCTGCTCCTGCACTGCCAAGGGGGCTGGTTTGGGTTAGAAAGAGCAAAATGTGCTGCCAGGGCTGGACGGGGACCACCTGGTGGAGGAGAATCCTTAGGGACAGGGGATGAAGCGAGGGCAGCGGTGGGCGCCTCATCCCACCGCTGCCAGCGAGGGCAGGCAATGCCAGTGCGGGGTGAGATGCCGCACACGATGGTTTTGGCAGCATCCCCAGGGATGTCTGGAGCCGCACAATCCCAGGCGGGGCTTGTCCATGGTTTTGTTGTTGTGCTGGGGTTTGGGTGAGGTTTTTTTCTGTTTTTAACTCAACTGCAAGCAATTTCTGTTTCCTAACTGTGAGGGCAGTGCGTCACAACGCCCCGTTGTGTAATGGAGCACTATTTTGGAGTCTGCATGTCCCAGGCATGTGTCAGGGAGCTGCAGGGGAAAGCCAGGAGCCAGCAGTTTGCAAGCCCCTGCAGTGGGGCAAGACAGCTCTTCACCGTTGGTACAAGGGCTGACAAATACCCCAAGTGTCCCGGAGCCTGGCTCAGCCCCCTTGGGACAAAGGCACCCACTGGTCCAGGGATCAGAGTGAGAAAAACAGACTCACTGCCGGCTCCGGGTTGCTCCGATGCCCAGTGGGATGCGAAACCTCACGAAACACCGCGCGGCATCTCCCCAGGTCAGGAGTTTCTTTAGCAACCATTTTGGCAAAAGAAACCCCCGAGCCTGAACCTCATCTCCCTATTAGAAAGTGCAAACTGGTTTAAATTACTGGGAGGGGGCAGAAGCTTCTGGGAGCTCTTTATAAGGACCCTGGGAAGGGGCAGAGCAAAGTTTGGAGCTGCTGGGGAGATGCTGGAAGGGCTTGGGGGTTCAGGGAGGACTTGGGGACAGGTTCTGCCAGGGGTCTGTTCTGCCATGCAATGATGCAGAGGCTTTGTAAAGGCTTTTTGAATCTGGGGTGGTTTCTCTGGGGTTTTGGGACTGCTGGGGAAAGGTGGAGAGCAGCTGCAGCACCTTCCGCAAACCAGCCCAGACCTGCCAGGAGCTGCTTCAGCGATGGGGAGGTGGAGGCGGGGTGAGCCCCGTGATTCCCAGCCGGTAACGCAGGCTGACATGTTCAGGAAACTGCCGCTCGTCTGCAGCCCTACGGCTCCGTGGTAAACCTGGGGGGCTCAGGCTGACCTTCTCCAGTGCAGTCCCCCAGCATGGGCTCGTCCACGCCCCAGGGAGGCTAAGGGTCTCCTCCAGCTGCTCAGAAACAGCTCTTCTCTGCAGGAACCGGGGACATGCTCTGGCTTTTGGGCTTTGCACGGACCTTGCATCTTGCTGCCCGGTTCCTCCAGACCAGCTTTCTCTCCCCAAACCCAATGCATTGCCCAGGGCAGCTCGTGCCAACCTACGAGCCGAGCTGGGCTCAAAGAAGCTCATATGTTTTGAGCTAAACGTGCACTGAACCTCTCCCTGAGCCATCAAGGACGGTTCGGGGGGGATGTCCAAGTATGTTGCTCGGAGGCGGTGCTGAGCTGTTTTGCTTAGTCTTTTCCAAAAAATGCCTCCTGGGGCTGAGTCACGCCGTGGAAAATCCCACAGAGCTGGAGAAAGGCATGAGTCACCCCGCTGCCCGCTAACGTACGGCGCACAAAACCCTGCTGATGCACACCGAGGCTTTGGAAAAGCTTTTATTGAAAGCCCTGTGGCGATGCTATGGGCAGTGGGGGTCACTTCTTGCGGGGCTGCTTGGTGGGGCCATCCTTGAAAAACTCGTTGAAGCCCATGGCGATGCAGGCCAGGAAGCAGACGTACTCCTTAAAGTCCACCTCGCTGTCCTTGTCATGGTCCAGGTCGTTCGTGAGCCTCTTGAACTCCACCTCATCCATTTGTTTCTGCGAGGGGGGAGAGCACAGGGGGGGTAAGCAGTTTCGGGGTGCACGGATGAGCGAGGTGCCTCCCCATCTAGCCCTGTTGCTTGCAAGGACGGCTGTAAAAAGCCTGGGCTTCTCTCACCCTGCCTTGAAGGAGGGTTTTCTCCTTGCCTTTGGAAGGAGGTGGCCTTTAGAAACGCAGGTGGCTTACCTGTGATCTGGGGCACGCTGGCATGGCTACAGCAAATACGCCTCTCGGTCATGAAAAAGTTTCACTAAAAAATTTCTCCTCCCTCCTCCCAGTTTAAACCACAAGCCAGAAGGGGAAGTGGGGGTTAAAAAAGGATTAAAAAATTGAAATCGGAGCATGATTTTCTTTGCCAATCAAAATATTTCTGTGGGTGTAAGAGAGCCAAGTTTCCTTTCAGTCTGAGCATGCTCCAGCTCAGGTCCTCCTGGCCTTGTCCCTCCTTCTCCCCAGGGCTTGCCCTAGAGCATGAGGGCTCGGCGTGTCACACATGGACTGCATCGATCTTGTGTGCTTTGGGGAAATTCAGAGACCACCTCGGCTCGCACTGTTTGCACTGTGCTATGTGGAAAGACCCGAGGCTGGTTTGCTCCTGCCCCTACAACACCTCCTGCCTGGGCACCTCCAAGGGACGCAAAGGGATGTGCCCCAATGGCTACTTACGCTTCCAAAGATGGGCAGCTCCTTGTTCAGCAGCTCCTTGAGCTCTGCCTTGCTGAGTTTGTACTTGTCCCCTTCCTTCCCAGAGTACTTGTGGAAGGTGGTGACTATCACGGCCAGCGCCTGCTCCAGGGGACACGCCATCGCCAGCCTCCTGCACGCCTGGAGGGCACAGCGCCGGGGACAGGGTCAGGGCAGGCTCAGGGTAGCAACAGAGGCCTGTCCCCCCCACCCTGCCAAAACCGTTCCGCGATGCTGCAGAGGGGCAGCTGCAACCCCGGTGCCTCGCGGGGAGGTGTTTCGGGGTGCAGTGACTCCTGGGTGAATTGCAGGTGGAGAGCAAAGCTGCACAATGAGCGATGCACAAGGAAGGGGAGCAGAGACTCACCGGGGTCAGCACAGATCAGGCAGCAGCAAGGAGCCGGGGTGCTGCAGCCAGAGCACGATGGGCATTTATAGCCCAGCCGGGGTGGCACTGCCCAGTACGCCCCATGCAGCCCCCTCGCCTCCAGGCTTTCCCAGCAGCTCTGCACAGGTGGTTTCGCCCGCGCCTCATTTTTGCCTAACGAGCTATGTGATCCCATTAGTGGGAGGTGGGTGGGTTTGGGTGCTGCTGGGAGGAGCTGCCATCCCTACTGGGGAGTCTGGGGACCCAGGAACAAGCCAAGGGATGGGTGCAGGGACTGGGAAGGGCTGGAGCATCCCTTGGGGCTCCCTGGAGAAAGCTGGTCACCAGCCCACGTCCCCCCCTGAGCCATCACTGTACTGTCCCCCACGCCAGCTTTCTGGGTGACCTCGGTCTCCCCAAAACAGACGGTCCCAAGCCAGTGACCCCAATGCAAACATTCAGGCTCCGCAGCAGGGCTGGGGAGGTGACAGCCATTTTATTCAAGCCATGGTCTCGATGCCTTAGCACAGATTCGTTGCAGAACATGCTGAGACAGCCCAGGAGGACCACATATTCCTTGAAGTCCATCATGTTGTCCTTGTCCTCCAGGTCCTTCAGCAGCACCCAGAAGCTGTGCTCATCCAGTTGTTCCTGGCACAGAGCATCAGCGGGGTCGAGGACACCACTCGCCAGCCACGGCACAGGTAGGGATCAACTGCAATGGGTGGTTTCGGCAGATGGGGGGAACCTGTTTCAGGGAGGAGCGAACCCTTCCCTGACCCCCACGTCTTCCCCAGTGGTGGGGAGAGACAAGGGGATGCTGGAGGTCCTGGGAGTCCCCACGCTCGCCCCAGTGAAGCTGGGCAGCTCCTTCAGCTCACCCTTTCTCAGCTGGTACTTGTCCCTCTCCTTCTGTGAGTACTGGTGGAAGGTGGCAATGCTGGATGCCAGGGCTTGTTCCAGGGTGGTGGCCATCCTGGCAGGAGGCTGCTCCCGGGAGAATGCTGGCACTGAGGAGGGCACCCGGCTTTTCCCTGCAAACCCCCAGTTATGTTTGCATTGCCACCCATCTGCAAGAGCCTGTTTGGTTTGGAGGAGGGAGCCAGGGTAAATCCTTGTCTGGCAAAACCCAAGGTGACCTGGCCTTGAGCACCTCGAAGACAGCCAACCTTTCAGTCTCTGGTGATTGCAGAGAAGACGTATCTTCCTTCTCCCAGAGATGTGGCAGCTGGAGAGGACCGTGGGGGAACATATTTGGGGCATTTTCTGAAATCTTGCAAATCTTGCGCCATGTGGGACCTCCAGGCTGGTGCACCGCCAGGGCTGCATTAGCAGCTGACGCAGGGTGCCCAGAGCTGATCCCTCCAGGGGGGACATGAGGACAGGAGCGTGGGTTTGAGCTCCCTAAATTGGGGCCAGCTGCAGAGCCTGGCAGCCCCATCCCTGTCCCATGGCCCCGCACCGTCCCTCTCCCTGCCTGCCATACGGTGCCGTGCAAGGTGCCCCAGGGCTTTGCAGGAGCAGCCAGGGGTGCAGCTGCCGAGCACACAGGCACACAAACCACCCCCTGCCCGTGTGTATATCCGTGCAACACTCTCTCCGACACACCAGTCCCCTGCGCACTGGCACACCCTCCAGGTTCCCCGTGCACCCGCGTTTGCTCCAAGCAGCTCCTGGGTGGGAAATAACGCGAGTAGCACAGGCATGGGGGCCGCAGCTGCTCAGAACCCCAGTCTGGATGCCCAGGTCCTGCAGGGAAGTGCGCACAAGCCGGGGACATCCTGAATTGTTTCCATGCACTGCAGCCAATATGCATCTAGAAATGAGGTGTTGGGGGCTGGTTGCCCCTCACCCTGAGGGTCCCGTCTGGAGAGACCCTGAGAGTCTATCCCGGATCCCGCCGGATTGCTGGGATCCCGTGTGAGCAGCCGGGTGCAGTGCCCAGCCAAGTTCCACTCACCCCATAAACAGCGGGGTGAGTCATGAGCCCTGCCCTTGCCCGAGAGGGATTCCTCCACCGTGACTCAGCCGCAGCCCTGCCCGGCTGCGCCGTCTCCCACGGGGGCACCCCCAGTTTGCACGGGACCCCCAGTGCTGCAGGGCAGGGAAAGGTGGGCTGCATGGGCAGGGGGAGAGGCAGGAGGCAAGAGCCAGCGATGCTCCTGCGTCAGGGAGGGGAGCAGCAAGGTCGGCAAGGGGGCTGGCTGGAAGGGGATGGGGGTCCCGGCTCCAAGGTGCTGGCATCCCCCCTGCTGTGGGAGTGGGGGTTGCGGGGGGCCACTGCCATGCTCGCAGGCTCAGGGCCAAGACCTCTCCCAGTGGAAAATCCCCAGCAGGCGCCGGGGCTGCCGGCTTGGGCTGCCTGCCAGCACCGTGGGCATCACAGGGCGCCATGAACCAGGCTGCAGCACACTCCCAGCCGAGCACTGCCGGCCTGGGGCGTCCTGGTGCGCACGGGGCCACAGAGCTTTTCCCCGTCCCCATCCCGGGTGGGAGGCATGCAGTGCACTGAGAGGCAGCAAGGGAACTGGGGTCCCCCGAGACACCCCGGGATTGGGGTGGCCATGCCCTTGCTGTGCACAGATGTGGGGCTGCAGTCCCAGGCTGCTCAGGACCCCACATGGGGACGTGGAGAGGGTCCCCCTGCTCGTGTGGCAGCAGCATCCACACGCTGTGCCCCAGGCAGTGGCTTGGGGTGCTGTAGGGCCGGTGAGGTGCTGGCAGGCCACGGTGTCTGCTGACACCTCGTGGTGGCTCAGTCAGCCCCAGGGAGCCCATCCCTGCGAGGCCAGATGGCTGGGAGGGCGTTATCGCCAGCCCAAGGCACGCCATGACTGCGTGGGTGATGGGGGACAGGGCAGACCCCCTCCCTCCGCCCCCCGCACCCCCTCGGTGCATGCATGCATGCATGCTGCAGGGCAGCTCCCAGGAAGGCAGAGCCTCAGCGTCACCCGCTGCTCCTCCAAACTTTATTGCTGCAATAAATAACCACGGTGGTGTTGCCCGGACGGGACCGCGCCACTCCCCGAGCCTGAAGGACCAGAGCACCAGGCAGCGCAGGCAGGGCAGACCCTTCACCAGCTTGGGCAGGGGGAAAGGCACCCTTTTCCCAAGAAGACCCCCGACTTTGAGGGAGAGATCCAAGGGCAGAGGGAGGTCCCGGTCATGATGGGGTTTCTGCCAGTGGGGCCATGCCCCAGAGGTCTGAGAACAGACAGAAGTCATGTCCTAGATGAGGGGAAGCCTCTCCCTTTGCTTCTTGCCCCACAACCCAGGAAGGACAAGGCTTGCGGAAGAGGATGAGGGCAGGGATGTCATGGCGTGGGCAAGGAGGAGCCCCCTGAGGCTGTGATGGCCTCACATCCCACAGCTCCCACCCACAGGGTCTTCCCGCCCCAGTCGCACCCTGGCATGGCTCAGTCGGCAAAGCTGTGGGAGACCGGGGTGCCCCGGGGCAAGCTGGGGCTCGGGGTGGGGCTCAGCAGCGGGAGAGGCGAGAAGCAAGGAGCCGTGGAGAAGCAGGGGCTGAGCCCGGGGGCTGACCCCAGGGAGGGTCTGGATGCAGCCGACTACTTGGTATGCTTGACACTCTGCTCCTGCTGGCGGATGATTTGGGCGATGGGGCTGGCGATGCCGCCTATCAAGGTCCAGTACTCCTCGAAGCTGATGCGCCCGTCTTTGTTCTCATCCAGGTCGCAGATGAGCTTGTCGGCTGCCCGACGGTTCCCGGTGTCCTGGGGGAGAGAGCGGAGCCGGTCACACCAGGGCAGCGGGGAAAGCAGGGTGCAGGGTGGGGGGGACCCCATGCAAGAGGGAGGAGCCGGTCCCCTGGCCCCACGCGCCCCTGCCTCACCGTCAGCATGTGGTTGAGCTCACAGCTCAGCATCTTGCGGAAATCCTTCTTGCTGATGCGCCGCGGCTTCTTGCAGCAACAGCGGCGGCTCGAATACTTGTCAAAGTTGTTCACCAGCACCTGGACAGCCCATTCCAGCTCCGTGCATTCTGCCATCACTGCCTGCGGTCACCTGTGGGGACGGGGGTCAGGGACAGGGGCTGTGGGACCCTCCATGTGCCCATACTGGAAGACAGGGGATGGAAGGGCAGGTGGCGTGCCGCCAAAGATCATGGTGCCATTACTCAGGGCATGAACAGAGATCTCCGCTGCCACCAGCCCTGGGGTCACTGCAAGCTCCCAGGCAGGCAAAAAGCAGCCTCCATGGAAAGGCAAAAAGCTGACAGTGCCAACGTGCGGCGTGCTCATCTCCCCACATCACTGCTCATACAGGATCACCCCAAAAATCCTCCATGCCACCTGCCCTGGCTCTGGCACAGCACCCGCCCCACGCCAGCCGCCCCACCTGCTCCCCCGGGGCTGCCGCCCCCGCGCGTGGGACGGGGTAGCAATTATGGCGCTGGGGCCGCGGGGCTCCACAGCGCCAGGGCTGCGGCTGCCGGTTCCCAGGGCTCATTAGGGAGGAATGGGGCTGGGAGCTACATGGCGGCGGCGGTGGCGGTGGGACGAGGGCAGGAATTACCGGCCAGCCCTCCTCTTGCTTCACGGCTCCAGAAACTCTCCAGCAGGGCAGGTCTGGACCTGCCCGAGCCCCCCACGAGCCCAGCCAAGAGCATCCCCCCTACCCTGGGGTCCAATCCTGCCTGCCTGCTTGATGTCCAGGGTCCCTTTCCTCTGTCCGCGCTCCCAAGGCTGCCCCAAGCCAGGAAGCTCCTTCCCATGGATGGACCTAACAGGATGGTCCCTGTCACGGGGTCTGGCGTCCGCATCCTGGGCAGGGTGCAGGCAGACAGGCACGGAAACTGCGTCACCTTGTCCAGCCTTGGCTCTTTCCTGCCCTGTCGGTGGTGTGGGACATGGGGCGAGCCGGGGCATGTTGCTCCCTGTCGTTTCACTGGAGCCATGCTGATTTACACCAGCCCAGGGTGCAATGCCGACCGTCATGGCAGTGGCGGCCACAGGGGTCTTGGGGGAAGCCAACAGGGCAGCATGCATGGAGCCCAGAGGGGTGGCCCAGCACTGTCCCTCATTCCGGGGGCATCATCCAGGGGGGTGTCTGCAGCCCGGCTGCTCCCTGGGAACAGGCACGACCCGCCTGGCGCCCCAAACTTGGCTCACGTCCTCTCTCTCTTTGCACTGATCCTCCCCAATTCAGCCCCAGGCCGAGGACATCGGCACATCAGGGTGGTAACAAGAGACACAAGGCTCAGGCCCGGGATCCCTGCACTCTCGCGCTCGTCCCTGCGTGGCTCAGCATGGCTGGGTACCCTCCCGAGCCATCCTTGTCCCCTCGGGAGCCTTCGCTGCGCCACAGTGCCATGGCCCAGGGCCACCCCGTCCTGGGACCAGAGACCATCCCCAGCTTGCAGGATGCTTGGCTCCAGGGTGGCTTTTGAACAGTCCCAGCGCTGGCAGGGCGTCCTGCTGTGAGCTGCAGTGCGCAGCACAGCCCTGCGAGAGCTGCGTACCGGAGACCTCCAGCTCCGGCCCTTCCTCATCCCGGGCCATTAATTACCAACAAAAGGTAATCAGCAGCACCTGGGCAAAAGCACCCACCGCACAACCTCCCCGTGTACCCGCTGGGGTCCCCACATGCAGACCCCACATCGGTGTCGCCGGTCCCCTGCCACCAGCGCCCAGCCCATCCTCGGGGCATGATGGCTGCTACTTCGCCACTGACTCACGGCACCAGCCCATCTGCGACAGCACAGCCCGCATGGCCCCGCCATCGCCTGCGTCCTGGCCCCACCACGCTCCCCCAGGGCCGGCCTGGGGCACGGGGACACTGTCACCACATTGGGACACGGGTATGCCGGCATGGCTGCAGCAGTGCCAGGCGCCAGGTAGGCGGGATGGGCAGGACAGGACCCGCTGGCTGCTCCGCTCCTGTCGCCCCAGTCCCCCTTCTTCTTTCATCTCTCCCTCTCCTTCCTCGCACACTCACCAGCACCAGTGCCCAGAGCCAGGACCCGCAGCCAGGCACAGCCCCAGTGCTCCCTGCCCACCGCCCCGGCATCGCTGTGGACAAAGCAAGGGGGAAATGCCCCTTTTCCAGGGGCCAGACCTCACTGGCAACCGCATGTGCCGGGCTCTCCATAGGCAGCAGAGGTCAATGGATGCTGCCAAGCCCTGTGCCAGACCACCAGTCCCCCAGCCCGGCTCCCCCCGCATCCGGCGGGTCCCCTCCGCCCCAGCCCCACGCGCGCGGCGCTGCCGAAGGGCTCAGGGGATTTCCACCACCCAACCTGCAGCGTCACGTCCCAGGGCTGTTCCTGGTTGAATATTCACCCCAAGGGTCCCGGCGTCAGCTTTCCCGTGCCCGGCTCAGAGCCTCACCTGGCTCCGTCCGGGGGTCCTGCTGTGTCTGTCTGACGCCGATTTGGCAGCACAGGCAGTGGGAGCCAATGACGCCTGCTCTGTCTTCACCTTGCACCCATACCACTGGGCCTAGCCTGGCTTTTAAAGAGGCTCCCGCCCCTCCCTGACGTTCCCAGGGCGTTCCTGGGCTGGGGCTCACCTGGGAAATGGCTCTCTGCAATTGCAACACCCAGACAGGTCAGTGCGAGCAGGGACCCGCAGCGGGCTCCAGCTCCCGGGGGCTGCTCTGGCCGTGGCTGTGGCCACGGGGTGATGGCAGGCATTTGGGAACCACCCCAAAAGACCCCACCGGCTGGAAGGGATGGTGGGCTCCTGGCAGTGGTGGTTTTCCAGACACAGTGCAACTCCAGCCTGGTCCCAGGGTTTGCAAACCCACCGCCGTCCAGCCATGCACCAGCCAAAAGGCCGGCTCCTCATCCCACGGCGCATCCCTGCCCTGCTCCAAACCGCCCCGCGCACACACCGGCAGCAAGGCTGGCCGATCGGGTCCGGTGTGGCCCAGAAGCTGCCCAGCAAGGTGGGGAGCATTGTTTATTTGAACCAAAACCACTGGTTCTCAAGGGTGAAAGGGGCTGGCGCAGGTCTTTGGGGCACTGGAAACACAAGCACCGGCTCCAAGCAGGGCCGTATCCAGCTCTCAGCCATCTCTAGATGCACTGGGACAGATAAGGCTCTTCTCAGCTGGTAGCCGTGCTTGTAAAGTCAAATCCATAATTAATTGTCCCAGCAAATTGTACCCCTGTATGTCTACCAGAGCAATGGCACAGCGATTTGATGTCAAGATTAGATACAGACATTATTGGGAGCTGCATATTTAAGGATGCAAAGTGGGAGGTGATATATCACAGGCAGCAGCCACCTGCTTAGAGGACCTTTGGGACTCCCATCCCGGAAAAAAACGACGTGTGTCATCCCAGCTCGCCACTGGCTTCTTCCTAATCTCGGTTGGGAGGAAGCAAACCCATTCTCAGCCGAGATGTCCCAGTGTCGTTGATGCAACATCCCAGGAGGGTGGGAATCCCTCCCCGACCCTGCAGGCAAACAGCTCACCTCTGAATCATGGGCTTTCATTACTCTCCTGTGCCTGGCAGATGTCACAACCACATCCAGGCCCTTATTTTTACAAGGCATCCAGGGCGTGTGCGTGTGCTCAGGGCAGCCACGTACCATCCAAACCCATCACAAGACAGTTCCCAGCCATTTTGATCGCACCGATGAGGTTGGTCTCTCCCCTGGTCCCCACCAGCTCCAGATCTGAAGGGTCGGGAGCAGTCTGGCTTCTCACGGACAAGCTCTGCTCCATGGGACCCTTTGCAGAGGGGGGGACACGGAGACCCGCTTTGGGGGTCTTTGGGGACCGCCGTGATGCACACAGCAGCCACCCCAGCAAGGACAAATGCATTTCTGTGTTTCCACCAGCGCGGTGCCGTGCCCGCGTGGTCGGTACTGACTCACCGAGGGATGCCGACCGCCCTGGCACGGGCTGAGCTGTTCCTCCCCCCTCCGAGGACTTTCCAGATACAACAGATAGTTATCGAGGATGGCTCACACCGCAGGAATTGCCGTCCTCTTGACAGCGCACCATCACGCCGGGGAGCCGGTCACCAAACCAGAAATAGGACCCAGGAGTCCCCACTCCCGCAGCACATTCCCAGCCTGGTGCTGGGAAGAGGACCCAGGCGCCCTGGCTCCCCTTTCCCCCCCATCACTCCAATCATTTGACACATTTCCTGTCTCTAATTAAATGCACGCCACACCTTTCTGCTTAATTTCCATGTATGTATTTCCAAGGTAGGAACAATAAATAGTCATTCCCATTGTGAAATCCACCCAAAGGTGAGAGGAGACAGAGGGTGGCCTGTGGCCGAGCCGCGGTGTCGGTGCTGCCGTGCCAGCCGCCGGCCCGGGAGGACCTGCCACCCTGTCCCGGCCTCAGGTTTCATCACTTTTCTCTGGGGTTTGGTTTGGTTTTGTTCATCTTTTTTTCCCCCCACGGCACAGAGCCTCGCAAGGTGTCGCAGGTGCTGCTGAGGTGCCTGCATCCTCTCCCTTTTTGGGGTCCCCATCCCCATCGTGCCTCCGGGGCTGCCCATGGGCTCCTCTGGGACATGGAGCTCAGTTGGGAATGGCCTGGATGGCAGAGAACAGGTGGGATAACCAGACTCAGCAGGTGCCCTGCACCCTCTGAAGCCCAGTTCTTCACCTGCCATGCGCTCGATGCCCGAGCTAATTGCTCCATCCCAGCAAGCCACTGCTTTGTGGCATTCGCCGTTTTCTAATTTGCTGTAATTACACAGAGATCCCACACTCTCCAGGCACGGGTGGGATCTTGCTGCTGGCCTCGCAGCTCCCGGGTCTTTCTGAGCCCAGGATTTCGGGGTCTCCCCTGAGCGCCCTCCAGCCCAGTGTGGACCCACATGCCCAAAGCCCTCGGGGTGTTGGTCTGGAGACACAGCCCTGGCTTTGCTTGTGGGGTCCCTGCAATGGGGACCACTGGGCACAAGCCACCGCAGGAACTGGGCATGTGCACAGCCCCGTGCACACCCTCAGCCCCGTGCACACCCGCAGTGCCCACACACCCCCACAGCACCACGCACACCCACAGTGCTCACGCGCACCCGCAGCACCCTGCACACTGCAGCACCCCGCACACTGCAGCACCCCATGCATACGTGCAGCCCCGTGCCCACCCACAGCACCATGCACTCTTGCAGCATCCCTTGCACCCTCATGCTCTGCACTGGGGCCAGCGGGGCTGTGCAACCCAGCAGCGAGCGATGCTCAGAGCCACAATCGCTGCAGCCCCATCCCTCCCTGCTCCCCACTTTCCCTCGCCCACGAAGGACAAATGAGGTCACCCCATCCTGGCTGGGTTTTTTTCCAGTGTTTTCCTTTATTAATTTATACAAAAATGGTTGCAAGTGACGCAAGCTGATAACAACCCGCCACCATCCCAGCCCCGAGCTCAGCCGCCAGCCGGGGGCCAGCATCCCTGGAAAGGGGCAGGCCGGGGAGCACCACACACACCCTGGCATAGCACCCCAAAACCTGGGCAGGCACAGGGCACTGTGGTCCCTGCACTGGGGGAAGAGCAGAGAATACGCCCAGGCCACAAACGGCAACGTCAGGGCCGGCCCGGAGCCCAGGATGCCCCCGAAGGTGCTCAAAGCACAAGGCAGAGCGGTGGCAAAGGGGGTCCCATCTGGTGGCAGGGCATAGGGCCAGGGCGACGAGCCCGCACATCCAAGGGGTTTTGGGGAAAAGGAGCCAAGTCCCTCTTGCTGCGACGCTCCGGGGCTGGGAGACCTGCAACCGGAGGGTTTTCGGGGCTGGAGGTGGGACAACCCTGTGGGTAAAGGCTCTGGAGCAAAGGACGGAGAAAAGCAGCTCCAGAGCCGGGGCCAGGAACCCCCTTGCCACCTCCCTCCCACCGCGGCACGGGCCAGAGCTGGGGATGGGAAGGGAGGTTTCCTGACGGGAAGGAGAGACAAGAGAGGGCAGGGACGGAGCCGGGGAGGGGGATCCCTCCGCCCTGGCTGGGGACGCGGGGAGGAGATGAGCCCCGGCAGGAGTGACGCTGCGTTTTCCCAGGCGCATCCCACCGGGACCAGCAGCCTCTCGCGCTTCTCGGTGCAGAGCCTGAGGCCTCGAGCGCCTTCCCATCCCCCGCCACCCTCTACTTCCTCCGGCAGCCCTTGGCCGCGTCCCCCATCATGTCCCAGTACTCTCCGAACTCCAGCTTGGCCTCATCAGGGTCTCCCATGCATTCGATCTTCTCATCCAGCGGTCCAACACACTGCAGCGGGGACAGAAAAAGCATTGGGGTGATGGGGCTGTGGGGTTCCGCAGGCAGCCCGTGCCCACCCCAGCTCCCCCTGCCCACCCCTGGTCTCTGCCCTCACCTTCCCCAGGTGGGGCAGCTTCTGCACCACCAGCTCCTGCATCTCGTTGGGCGTCAGGTACTCCTTCTGCCCCTTCACCGCGTAGCAGTGGAACTGGTTGATGACAGTCTCAATGGCCCGCTCCACGTCGGTGAGCTCCTGGCAGTCCTGCGCGGGGGGAGAGAGGGTGAGCACCGGTGGGACACCTCCGGTGGAGGGACGTGCCCCAGATGGACAGGACAAGCCCCCGAGTAGATGGGACGCCCCCCAAGCAGATGTGCCAGTGCTCTCTGCAGATGTTCAAGCCCTCCGCAATGATGTGATAAACCTCCTTATCAACATGATACCCGCTCCGTACAGATGTGAGACCCCCTCTACAGATGTAAGACCTCACTGTACAGATGTGACACCCCCATACAGATGTGAGACCACTCCATACAGACATGAGATCCCACCGTACAGATGTGAGACCCCACCATACAGATGTTGCATCCCTCCATACAGACTCTGCACAGCTGTAATACCCCCCTACAGCTGCCATACCCCCCTCCACCTCGACGTGACACCCCGCCTCGCAGGCATGTCACCCCTCCATCTCTGCTTGCCCGGACTTCTCCCTGCCCGGGGCCAGCGAGGCTCAGCCACCCCGGCGTCTCCAGGCGCTACACCCACGGCGCGCGGGGGCCGCCGCGGCAGTCCGGACTGGTTCTTCCTCTCCTTTGCACAAGCGGCGGATGGCGGCATGAGTCAGTGCCCAGGACGACTCGGGCGCACGCCAGGATGGGGCTTGGCGGCAGTGGGAGCCTCTCTCCCTCCCCGTCGGGGCTGCAGACCCCTTCCCCAGCAGGGTGGGGGGCAGAGCCTGGCCCGACCCACACACCCGGCTCCCCGGCCACTCGTGCTAATTGGCCAAAGCTGCGTTTGAAGGGAAACGATGGTGATTCACTCAGCATCTGCGGTTTCCCCTTGAAACACTATTAAACCACATCAGGCGATGCCCATTAGGAAGAACCCAGCAATCTTCAGAGCCTCAGCCCGGTGCCCTGGCTCAGCCGGCTGGGGCCAAATCCTCCGCAGGTGCAAAGGGCCATGGGGTGGGCACCTCCCGTTTGAAAGCCGAGGAAAACAGGAGACTTTCTGCTGTTGGGCATCCTTGGAGAGGTTGCAAGGAGTGAGCACAGCTCCCAAAGGTGAGTCCATAGGAGCTGGAGAAAGCTGCCTGGTTCCCCGAGCTTTCAAGCGGCTCCAAATGGCAGCACCAGGTCTCCCTGCCCAGCACTGGTGCAGCGTCGCTGAACCCTGAAACAGCCCCCCGGCTCCTCCGCTGGAGTCTCGCTCCAGGATGGGGCTGGCCCGGCTGCGCTGCTCTGAGTCACCCCATGCCCAGGGCTGTGCTCCGAGGGATGGGGCCGTGCGGGGTCACCCCTTCGCCCCGCACCCCGACGGGGTCCCGGCCCTCCCGGTGCCGCAGCATCGCTCATGGACCTTGCGCTTCTTGCGGCAGTTGCACTGGCCCATGCTGCTCCTCGCAGGGTCTGTAGGTCCTCGGTGGCAGCAGTGATGGGGCTGTCCTCTCCGACGGGGTCTTGAGGAGCTGGCAGGGGAAGAAAGCCAGGCTCAGCTCTCGGCTTGGGGGCAGTTTCCCTTCCTTCGGTGCCAGGACTGAGCACAGGGCGAGGAAGGAGCCCCGGGATGCAGTGAGCTGCCGGGACACGTCCCGGCGGCAGGAGCGTCCCTGCCCCAGCGGCAAGTCGTGGCAGAGCCAAGCGTGGGAGCAGGGGGGGTGCAGAGGGGTGGCGGGATCCCTGGGTGCGGACCCCCATCCCGCGGTGGCAGATGGGCCACTTACCTGCTCCACGGGCTCTCCTGGGTCTGCGCGGGCTGCGGCGCGCCGGGGTTTTATACCGCGGGGAGGTGTGAGTGGGAGCTCCCTGCGCGCCGCCAGCTGCGGTGTGGTGCAAGGCGTCTCATTTCGGAGCCTGGCCCAGGGCCAGCGTGGGGCTGGGAAACGCCTCCTTCCCGGCCACATCGAGGGCTCCCCATCCAGCCCGGCACGGCACAGCTGCTCAGCACCACATGGGAACAGCCACACGGGCACCGGGACCTGGCCAGCTCAGGGACGGGTCACCCTGTGGCAGGGATTTTGCCATTTTCCAGCAGCACTGGGATTTGGGAGCTGAACGCTGGGAATGGAACCTCAGTGAGGGGTGTTGAGCCGGTGACATGCTGTGCTGGCAGACGCGTGCCCCTGTGCCAACCCAAGACCCAGAGAGGATGGGCATTGATGCCCTGGAGGTGGCGACTACTGCGGCCACTGCGGCATCGCTGCCGGAGATGCTCCCAAGCCCTACCCCGGTCCCAGCCACGTCTCTGCCACCCATCGGGGTTGCACTGAACAACCCCACAGCCCGGCAGGAAGGCATTTGTGGGGCGCAGGGTGGCACCCCGCAAGCCAGACCAGCGCAAGGGCGATTTGGGAACGGCCCCATCCATCACAGGTTCCCCGCAGCAGCCACCCCAACGCAGAGTGAGCACCGACCCACTGCCCGTGGTGCTGGGCTGGTCCCCAGGCACAGCGCGGCCATGGGCAGATGCAGGCAGGGGAGGAGACGGGCTGCCCAAATCAGGACCCCCCGCTAAGAACAGCAGCGATGCCCAGGCTCAGTGAAACCTCTTTTATTAGCTCCGCATCGGCTGAGTCTCCCCACCAGCCCCGTCACTTCTTCCCCGCTTTCTCCCGCCGCATGGCCTTCGCCAGCTCCCCGATCAGCCGCCAGTACTCGCCAAATTTCAGCTCCTCGTCGTTGTTCACATCCAGCTCGCTCATCTTCTCCTCCAGGGAGGGGACGTCCTGTGGCGAGGACAGGGGAGGCTCAGCCGCATCCTGGTCCCCAGCGAGCGGGATGGGGATGGGGGGGAGCAGAGGCTGCTGCTCGCTCTTTCTTGCAAATCCCAGGGTACCGGCAGCAGTCCCCCAGCTCGAGGGGACCTGCAGGGACCCAGTCAACCCCCAGCCACCCCACACATGCTGCCCCTTGCCTCACCTTCATCAGGTTGGGCAGCTCGAGCTGGACCAGCTCCTTGAACTCGCCAGCTGTCAGCGTGCCCTTCTTGCCCTCCTTCCCCGCGTAGGTGAAGAAGATGGTGACGATCTTCTCGATGGCCGTCTCCAGCTCGGTCAGCTCGCCCGTGGCCATGGTGCCGGGGCACGGCAGTGGCCCGGGGCTGCAGGGAGAGGAGCCGAGAGGGGGTCAGAGGTGGAGGGGCGTCCCGGGGAGGTGATGCCCGGGGTGCGTCGGGAGAAGGGGATCCTCTCCCCTTCCCCAGTCCAGGGTGCAGCGAGCCTGCAAGGTCTCAGCTCAGCTCTGTAGGGCTGAGCAGGGTCCCTGGGCTGGGCGCTGCCCCGCTGCTCCCTAGGGACCAAGTGCTTTGGCCAGGCCCTCATCGGCTGGCACGGGGAGGGGGAGCAGAGCCGTTCGGTGACGCCGCTGCCATCCAGCGCAGCGTGGCACAAACGCCACAGAGGCAGCCGGGATGGGGGGACATCAGGAAAGGGATGGGGGTACGGCAGGGGTCCCCAGCACCGCTCTCGTCCTGTGAGTGCTGGAGAAACGGTGGCCGAGGTGGGGCTGGTGCTGCAGGCAGCAATTCCCTACTTACCCCCCTCACCTGCGGGCAGAGAGCTGCAGGCAGGCCGCGGTCCCCCGGGAGGTTTTATACCCTGCGACGAAGGAGGGGAGAGCGCAGCGCTTTGTCCCCCATGCCACGGTGTTAGGTTTCCTGTTGCAACCGGACGGACGTACAGACACCGCCCGGGCGCAGAGACGTCCTCCTCTCCTCCCTCCCCGTGCGGGCAGCAGACCAAATCCAGTGCTCGGCCCTGCTGGTGTGAACCTGTCCCGGCCTCCGCAGCACCGCCTGGGCTCTGCTGCCGTGGGGATGCTCCGGTGGGGAGCAGAATGGGACCGCGGGGCAGAGGGGAGGGATGCGGGAGGACAGAGCAGGATTGCTCCAGCCCCGTGGGGCTCGAGCATCACCCAGAGCTTTCTGGGGAGTGCGGGGCAGGTCTCACCCCCAAGCGCATCTCTGCAGGGCTGGGGTTGCAGTGGGGATGAGGACGTGGCCCCCAGCGCCCTGCTTGCGACCCGCCAGGCCCCGACACGGTGGCTTGTCCCCACCTGCAATCACGCAGCACTGCGGACCCGGGCCAGGCTCGACCCGCACTGAGTGAGAGTTGTGACTCAGCCACCCGCTGACATCATCCCTATTAATAGTGGGATTTGTGAAAATTAATTAATCCAAATTAATTAGGGGGTTGGAACTGCCCGAGCGCTCCCCTTTAATCATTGTGTATTTATAACATGGCAGCCCTGGCAGGGTTCCACCTGGAGACTGAGCAGCTCCGCACTGCAGCACCGCCGTTCCCACGGGGCCCCCGAGCCGCGTCCCGTGCCCCGGCACCGCACCTCAGCCCCAAATAAACCCCGCGTGGTGCCCGCGGCACAGCCCCGGGGAGAGGCGGTGGGGACACGGGGGGCGGTGGCCCGGGATGGGGGTGACGTTGAGGACTGTCTCTGCTCGGAGCGTGGCAGGGATGTCCGTAACTGCCAGTCACCCCATCCCTGCACACCACAGGGCCTGTGTCCTGGTGTCCCCACGGCAGTGTGACACCGAGCATGATGGGGAGCGAGGCCGGGATGAGCACATGGGAGTGGGGTCACGGGGAGCCCAGCACAGCCTGGAACCCCCCCCACCAGTGGTGTTTTGGGGACCCAGAGCAGGGAGGTCCCCGGCGCAACGCTGCCGTCACCAGCCCGGTTTCTGGTGAGCCCTGACGCACTCACTCCACCTCTCCATGGGGATGAGGAGGCTCCAGCCAGCACCGGGCAGCCCGGTCCCCACCCCGCACCCGTCACACCAGCTCACGGGCGAGGAATTGGCTTCCTGCAGCCCCATCCGGCCCGTCCCCCTCCCCGGGGTGACGGGGTGACGGGGACGGGACTTCCGCTGAGCCCCACGTCAGGGGACCGAGGTGGTCTCTTGGGAAACCGCTGGGGTGAGTCAGGCTCGGCAGGGACGGGGACAGGTTTGGGGTGAATCACCGGCCCCAAGAGCCAGGCGGGCCCATGACTCGCCACCCCTGGAATTCGGGGTGCCAGGACGGGGCGAGGAGGCAGCAAGCGCTGCAGCGGCCCCACAACAGGATGCGGCCAAATCACAGGTGGCAGGAGAAACGGCACCTCCCGGTCAAGCCCGGGATCCCTGCTCAGGGCTGTCCCCACGGCCAGGGAGCAGTGACCCAGCCTCAGGGACCTCAGCGCTACTGGGAGGGGGCAGAGCATCGCAGGACCCCCTGCGCCGGGGCAAGAGCTCGGGGTCGGGGTGCAGGTGCATCCCAGGGGGTTGGCGCTCACCCCTGTGTCCTGGTCCTGGTGTTGTCCCCAACCAGAGACACTCACCGCGGCCACCACGGGTGCCAGCCCGGCACTGGGCCACGCCAGCCCACCGCACCGATCAGGGCTCCTTGGAGGGGAGCGTGGTTATTTGAGGCTGCGAAACCGGGTGCCCGGTGCCATCGCGATGCCCCCGGCCCTGACACGGCAGCTCTCCCGCTCCAAACCCCAGGGATGGAAAAGCCTCTTCTGTGCTCCAGCAGTGGGATAGAGAGACAAGACTGGCCCAGCCCCGGCACCAGCAACTGGAGCAACTGGTTTAGCTGGGTCAAAGTGGAGCATGGGGAGTCGCAGCGGCTGAAACCTGTTCCAAGATGTGTGTAAACCTCCTGGCACGTCCCTCACTGCTCCCGGTTTGGTAAGAGCTCGTCCTGGGGATCTGCCAGCGCGGACACGCCAGGCGTGCTCTCCCCACGGCCGGCACCACGGCGGCAGGGAGTGGGGCCGCGGCGCCCAGGGCCAACCCCCGCGGTGCCCAGGCGATGCCCCCGCGGTGTCGGGGTTTACCCTTGGGCGCCCAGCTCCGGCCAGTCCCACCGCTCGGGATACGCCTGGCCAAATCCTGATCTCCGGGGAGGTTTGGGGTTTAATAAGAGCGGGGCAGAGCCCCTCTGAGCACAGCCGGAGCCCTTGGGGAGCTCGGCACAGACGGGCAGTTGGACGTGCCGGCCATGCTGGTGCCCGGCGCATGGTGGCCCCGGCTCTGTGCCCACTGCAGGGACCGGGGTCAGGTTATTTTTAAGCTGAGGACCGGGCGGCGATGCCTGTTCCCGTCACGGGCAGCTGCTGCCCAAGTGGGCAGGCAACACGGCCCCGGGGGCCAGGCTTTCCCAGAAGGAGCGGCCAGATCCTGTCCGCTGCCGAGCCGCACTGGGGACAGGGGTACAGGGGCTCCGCTGCCGCCAGCCCCCGCGCGGACACCACTGAGTGAGTGCCACCGGGGTCCTTTCCCATTTCCCCCTGTCCCCAGGCTCTGGATCCGGCCTCTCCTGGAGCTCACCAGCCCCAGGCCGCCTTCCCTGCCCCACACCAAAAACGGGAGCCGTGTCCTGCTGGGAAGCAGCTCCTGAGGCTCCAGCCAGGGACCCCCTTCGCAGCCACCTCAGCTGCCCCAGGTGCAGGACAGGGGCTGGACCCCCAAAACCCTGCACAGCCCCACAAACCCCCCCCGCCCCCCCCCCGCCACCACCTGCCCAGCACAGGGTCCCCTACAGGGTCGGGGGACCGGGTGGCAGGGTGGTTTTGGGGTCCCCAGGCGGGGGGGGATGCTGCACGGCCACGGCGTTTCCCAACCACGGGGCCAGGAAGCGCAGAAGATGGAAATGGAGGGAGCAGGATATAATTAGCCCCAAATTAGGACTGGAATCCGGGATAAAGAGCTTGGCACCACCCGGCTCTTGCGAAAAGCCACGACGACATGCCGGCAGCTCCCGGCAGCCCCCCTGCGAGGGGGTCCCAAAAAGGGGGGGACGATCATGCCCGCCTGAGTTTGGGGGCTCAGCACCACTGCTGTTTTTCCCCTGGGAATGCCGGTGCCGGGGAGGCCGCAGTGGGTTCGGCACCACACTACCCCGGCCGCGCGGATGCAAGGCCGTAACGAGAGCCGCAGCGGGGCCGGGATTATCAGCATCGGCCATGCCAGCACGGGAATCTGGTTTCTTGGCCGAGCTGTTGCTGGAGCAACCTCCGGGCCGGGATTGTGGGGCTTTTTTAATTTGACAAGAGGCCTTTCTGTGCGCGGGGAGCGGGCGGCCCCGGGGGGCCTGGGCTGAGTCACCCGATAGCCCCCACCAGCTCCCCCCAGCCCCGGCTGGCTCCCGTTGCGATGCCGAGGACACCGGATACCCGCATTTTATCAGCCTGCAGGAGGAGGGATGGGGACGGATCCGGCACGGCACCGCGCCGCTGACAGATGGGGGATGCCAGTGGGCGCCGAGCGGGTGATGCCGCGGGGTCAGACCCCGGGCGCCGCAGTGGCCGCGGCTGCGAGTGGAGCCAGGGTCCCGTGCAGGATCCGACCCCAGGGCTGGCGGCAGACCCCCGTGCCCCCGGCAGCCCGCTGCCCCATGGGGCCGCAGTGGGGCCAGCCTCGGCCATGGGGGCGGCAAGAAGGGATGCCCAAGGTTTAGCAGGGGGAGGGACACGGAGCCCCCCAGAGTGACTCCTGGCATCACCGCCCACCCCCCCCCCGGCCCATCGCCACCCTGGAGGCACCGGTGGGGCTGGCGACGCTCCTCTGCGTCACCCCGGGGCCGGTGTGGGGTGAGTGGGGCAGCAGGACACCGCAGGTTCAGGCTCCCCACATCCCGGCCCCCGCGAAGGCGGCGCGGGGCAGCCCGGCGGTGCCAGCCCGGCTGTCCAGCCCCGGTATCGGATCCTCCCGGAGGGAGGGGGCTTGGGGCTTATTTAACATCCCCGGCTGGCCGAGCTCGGCGCACTCAGAGCAGCGGGCAGGCGACGCGGCGGGGGGCCCAGGTGAGCGCAGGTCCCGGCCGGGGCATGGGTGCCCTGCGAGGGGGTGGTGGCCGGGGCCCTCTCCCAAAGGAGCACCCCGTCCAGCCCTGGGGAGCAGCGGGGTGCCCCGAGACCCCCGCCGCCCCACCGCTGGCTCTCTGCCCAGCGCCAAGCGTTGGGAGCAGAGGCCACGGCACACGATGTTCCCCGGGCAGGGGGTGGCTACGATTTGGGGGCTGCCCCTCACGGCAAGGGGGGGGCTGGCAGCTGCCCCCCGTAACGCGGCAGGTGCCTCCCCGCAGCCGGAGCCATGGCGTCGCAGCTGGAAGGGGCCATGGAGACGCTCATCAATGTCTTCCACCACTACTCCGGCAAAGAGGGGGACAAGTACAAGCTGAGCAAGAAGGAGCTGAAGGAGCTGCTGCAGAGCGAGCTGGGCTGCTTCCTGGAGGTAGGGACCGGCCATGCCGGGGTGCTGGGGCCGGGGGTGCCCCCTTTCCCTCTGCGCCCTGGGGCAGCAGCATCCCAGCAGGCTGCTGAGCCCCGGGGCTCACCCTGTGTCCCCCCACCACAGACCCAGAAGGACACGGGTGCCGTGGAGAAGATCATGCAGGACCTGGATGAGAACGGCGATGGGGAGGTGGACTTCCAGGAGTACGTGGTCCTGGTGGCCGCCCTCACCGTGGCCTGCAACACCTTCTTCTGGGAGAACGCCTGACCCAGGCTGGTCCCCACCCTGCAGCAGCCGGCCATGGCGTCCCCAAAACGCAGAGCCTCCCGCCACCCCCCCAGCTCACCCTCCGCTCCCCAGCACACCCAGGGGATCCCACTGGGATCCAGCTCCACAATAAAGGCACCGACCCAGCCAGAGGCGTGTTGTCAGCTCCTTCATTTCCAGGGTCGGGGTTTCTGCCCTGTCCTCCTGCTAGTGTCCCCGGGGATACCAGGCAGCCTTCCCTCTCCTGAGCCACGGGGTCACGGGGAAAAGCCACCCTGGGTCACCCCAAGTGCCTGGAGACATCCCCGTCTCCACCCTGCTGTGGTTCCTCCATCGCACCCTGTGCCGCACCCTGCCCCGGAGCCTGGCAAAAACCCCGCATCGCCCCAGGACACAGCACAGCTGGGGCGGGTGCCCCCGGCCTGCTCTGGGGTGTTGGGGTGCAGGACACAGGGGTGCAACACGGGGGCATGAGGGTCCGGGGGGGACCGGCCGCAGGCCGGGACTCGTTGCCCGTCCCATCAGAGGCGCGGGCCCCGCGCCCCCTGGGGCTGGA